TCATGGGTGCAGGAAAACGAATTCTTGACTTGATTTGACTAGACGTGACAATGCTCTTAGAGTTCAGTCTGCACCGACGCACTGGTGGCACCATCAGAAAGCATACCAAATTTGTCATGAATGCAACTATTGCCCTCACAGTCAGACAATTGCTAGTTGTACCAATTGATCAGGCTTTCGATGGTGTTTCTCATATACAATGAAGAATATACATTTATTCATTTCTTTACTTATGTTTACATGAAATGTGTGAAATGTCTGTAAACATCAACCAATTAGATGTCTGCAATATCAAACAATTCGGACGACCATGTACTGTCACAGATGAAGTATCAGCTTGCGCGGTTGCGCAAGTGGTATGCAGTAACAGCAATCTCGGCATTCGGCAACTCGCACAACGTTGCGAAACCACACCGTATGCTGTGCATCGGTATTGAAGGAACATATGCCGTTAGTATAGTGCAATGCAGGTGCAAGTGTTGAACGCATGCGATTCACAAAAGCGCCTGGAATTTGCCCCTTTGATTTTAAACAGTCTGGACATGCCTTCTCTTTTGGTCACGGATGAGGCTGTGTTCCCTTTGCATGGCGAACGTATGCAACATGTTTTGTTAAAAACCCACCCCCGGAAATATAGCGCTTTACTTGTGTAACATATCGCGAAATCAATGGCCTAGACTGGATTGCCTCGTCGAACAATCATTAGGCCCTTTTTCTTTTCCAGAGGTGTGTCCGCCAGGTTGTTGTTTAACAGTACCAATGGCTGACGTTTCTTAGCATCCTCGCCACCACCATCCGGCGAATGCTCCTCTGTAAGCAAAACGACGGAGGACACTTCGAACATCTAATTCGTTGATATTTGCATACATTTCACACATTTCATGTAAATATAAGTGAAGATATGAATAAATGTATATTCTGCATTGTAGATGAAAACACCATCGAAGGTCTGAGTAATTTATACAACTAGCAATTGTCTGACTGTGAGGGCAATAGTTGCATTCGTGACTAAATTGGTATGCATCGTCGGGGCAGACTGAAATCTAAGAGCACTATCACGTCAAGTCAAGTCAAGAATTCGTTTTCATGTACCCATGAAGGGTGAATTTTCAGCTGTAACACACACGCGATCGAAACGGTAAAGCAAACAGCACTGTAACCTTACAGTGTGCTCCAGGCAGCATGATTCCCTTTAGCAGAGAAAGCAGCCTAATAAAAGCTTAAGGGTTTGTTGGAAGCCAGTCAGGAGGGGATAACAGCTTTTGTGGCGATAGCAATACGGCGCCGATCGACCGGTCATCACATACGGCCAGGCTGTTTTTCTCAATTGCTAGCACAGCGACCCACTAACCACTTCACCGGGAACCCTTTTGCTGGCTTTTTCACCTGGGTGAAGGCCGAATACCGATCGATCGAAGAATGACATGTTCAGTGCGGCTGTGGTGTCTGGTTCACTTCTGGTTCTCACAACCCAACGAAGTGCGTTCCCTTGGGCTTGCCCTGCGATCCACGCATGTCAGGTCCATTGAGTCTGTGGTGTTTTCTAAGGTTCACCTATCACAGTCGAACGGCTCGGTGTGTCCTGCGATCGTGGGCGCACATGTCGCGTCTCTGTGTCCCATCTCACACCTCCCGGCAAATCAATTTGTGCCATTGGACGGTTGACAATTCAGCGTACTGTGTACTTCGGCACCTGAATGCACCTGCTCCTAGCTGCAGGTTAATACAACATCCTGTATCTACTTTTAACGAACCCACCTTTTTCTTTTTGGTTTATTTATGCCCCCTTTATTTAGATCATTCCATTGAGTTTTCCTTGTTGGTACCAAATGAACAATGCTACATCATTGATCTTTGCCAGCTTTTGACGCCGCTGAGATTACAATCATACTATCCATAGTTTTTGTAATCTAAATTATGTCGTTTGTACAAAAAAAGCCAAGCTTGAATTTTATCATTCCATGATCGTGCCGTATTTGTCCCGCCTGTGGATTTTGCACATCCTTGCCCTACACTAAGTCATCGCTTGGCCTCCCTTCTCTTCACTCCCGACCCCGGACGCGCAAACAACGTACGATGCAGGAGTCGGTGTGCTAGCATGCGCAACACGTGGCCCAGCCATTGGAGCCTGGTGCATGACACACTGGTGTTGAGCGGTTCACTCGCACTTCCTGCACCAAATACGAACACGCTCATTGCTCACGTGGTGTTCCCACCAGACATGAGCTAATTTGCGAAAACAGCGATGGTCGAACATGACTAGCCTCTTTATGAATGTGGACCTGATGAGCCAAGTTTCTTAGCCGTATAAGTGGCTTGAAGGAAGGCTGCATTATAAACTTTGCCATTCAGGGCGAGCGTGATTCCACATCTGTGCCACAGGTGGCTAAGATTAGAAGAAGCATCCCAAGTTTTGCTATACGGTTCGTGCCTTCATCTTCAATCCCAAGGGCGCTAATGTAGCTGCCCAGATACTTAGATTGCTGAGCTATTTCTAGCTGGTCACCATCAAGTGTTAGCGCTGGAGTAGACCACTGCTAATCTTTGGAAAGTGCTATGCATTGCGACGATGCAGATCATAACCCGGAACGACCGACAGCCATAGCTAATTTATCTAATGCAGCTTGGCAAGTTTATGAGCTCTCACAGGTGAGCGTAATGTCGTCGGTATACTGCAAGTCAAGAAGTCGGTCACCTGGGAGCAGCTCCACACCTTATAAGTCGTGTCCGGCGAAAGCCGTTTCCATGACTTCGTCAATGGTGAAGTTAAAGAGGATAGTTGACAGCGGGCAACCTTGTTTCACACCGCTGGAGATATTGAAGGGCGGCGAAAGTTTGCCGTAAACCCCCCACTCTGCCAGAAGTATGCGCGTACAATACTGTGATGATATTTACATGTTTCTTGTGCACACCATTCTTCATTAGGCTGTCCTAAAGTGTACGTCGACCTAGCAAATCGAAGGCCCCATTTAATGTCTAAGAACAGGACTGTGGTGGGTCGCCTATAACCATGGTGGTACTCCAAGAATTAACGTAATGAAAAGATGTGGTCAATGCAGTCATGATTTCTATTAAACCCGGCCTGCTCTTCGCGCATCTGGCTTTCACGTGTGCCAGTTAGTCTATGGAGAACGACAGAGGCAAGTAACTTAGAAGCAATTGAGATCAACCTGATTCCTCTTTACTCCCGTCTTTCAAACGGGAGTCTCACTTGAAATTTTGGACTATAACGGAATGATTCCATTATGTTGGGATTGTCTCCTGCTCCCATAGAATCACTAGTAAGTTATGTAAATTGTCCAAAAGGGCACGGCCCCGTATTTGTAGAGGATTGGATGAAGTCCATCTGCTCCAGCCGCTTTGTTCAATTTCAGAAGTCTGATCTCACGTTCGATTTCCGCGCGTAAGGGCGCATCCAAGGAGACGGCTCAGGGTGTAAGGCGATCATAAGCCGATGGAGAAGCTGGCAACTCTGACTGATTTAATTGCTTCTCAGTGTTCGGCCCAACGCTCCAGGTCTTCTGCTGCCCGTTTCTCGTATCAGACGGAATAAGCAAGTAACTAAATGCTTAGTATCATATTGTGCTTCGAATAGAACATCGTAGTCGGAGGGTTAAGCTGGGCGGAAGGGGGCGGGACAAAGAAACCAACTGCACGAACGCTACTGAGGTCGGCTCTGCGCCACATCAACAGATGTCTCCAACCAAACGTGCTCATCGTCCTTCAAGCCCCAACCTGACAGTCGGGCGACACCAACCGACACCAACTTTAAAAGTTTGTTCTTACTGAGGAAATTTTCAAGCAGGAAAGGCGAAATGGTTAGGATGACGACGGACCTGGTCCGCGCATCGTTTCAATATATCTTGTTAATCCGCATCTTTCAATAATGCCTCCTTAAAGCCCAGGATCTTTCAACTGTCCACAAGTTAGCGGAGCAGCGCAAACGGACTTCTGGATCGTCAGTTTATTTGAATGAGTATTCTTGGCACAGCCGCTAGTCAAGCGGCTGAAGCACCGTACTAAGAACTGGACACTCTGATCTCCGAATAAAGTAATAATCAATGGTATGCCATGATGTTCCAGATTTTACCTAGAGCCAAGCAAAATTTCAGTTTCACCAGCTGTTGCCTTGGGGCAATTATAAATCTGGGGAATTTACAGTTTTATCAATAATTCAAATGAAAAGTGGTGTGTATTGTGTCTGAAACATTTCCTTTTTGAGTATTTTGTAGCATCGGATTTATTAGTCTTTGTACCGCCCACCATCCAGTTAGTTTACTGATCGCAAATCCCCTGCACTCATTTCTGCCGCGTTATTCGTGCACTATGCTGCTCACTGCGCTTGCTGATTAGCTTTGTTGGGTGCGCCTCGGATACTAGTCGATATAGATGTCACGTAGGATACGTGCCAAACACGGAACGATGGGGAAAATAGGAGCAGCTGGACTTGACATATGTAACTGCTACAAAGAATGAAGAGGGAATCAGTAAGAGCGAGGATCAACGCTTGCGCTCGCCGGATAGAGATTGTCCAAAGGATATAAGATCATTAAAACAGATGTACAGTTAAAAGATGCAAAGACCAATAAAACTATCTGTAATGAAATGCCAAAAGAGCAAAGGTTTCAACTTCACTGCAGCTTTCTATTCGTTGTAGTCTTTGCAGTACAGGTTTGGCCCAGTTGTCTCACTTTTCTTCGGTAAATTATCATTTTGCAAGTCGTCGCTGTCGATCATTATTCGAGTCCCACCCTGTAAGTATTAATTGATATCAGGCGCAAGTTTGAGCATATTGGGACCTAAGAATTGAGAGAAGTAATTAGTTCTAAGGATGAGTAGACTGTCTAGATCTCCGCCTGTATCACCGTACACTTTTAACCTGTCTATTTCCGAAGGCTATTGCTTTACTCGGGAACTATACATGAAGAACATTGTAAACAAATCGTTGCTCAAAGGAAACTTTAACGGTTTTACTTTTCACCCTATATTGCCCTGTGCAGGAAAAATGTGAAAGCGGAGATAACCAAGTTAGCGGGAGGCAACATTTGTGTGATTTGGAGATAACACAAGAGGCTAAATATGGTAGTGGAAGGTATGCGCCAGTGCCCAGTAAAGCCAGACGATCCCAGCTACGGGATAATTATCGAAAGAAAGAAGTGAAACGCAAGAAAAATGATCAACTCTACAGGAGAAATATGAAGCTTAGAACTAGTAATTTTCTACCGCATCGCGAAATGAGTCTGAGATCTCAGAGGGAACGTGTAGAAGAACTGAGAAACAGCGCCACTGATACCGATACGGTGAACCGTGCAGACGAGTGTGGAGATGGTGAGACGGATTTTGCTGGTGAAAAAGTCAACAATGTGTCTGGACAGAGGCAGAGACTCAGTTTGAATGAGCAGCTTAAAGAAGTGTGGAGCAGGAATGCCGGTCAGAAGTTAAAAGCGAGAGAATATGGGTGTCCGGAGAGCAAAGTGGAGGAGGTATGTTATCTGGGACCAATCAAAATCTTTAGTGATTTTTCCACAAATGTGTATACAATAGAAAGTCAAACATGCCAGCCTCCCAAGACTGTCGATTGAGTGCTTTCTTCATTCCTATTTGTGTGCTTGGACAAATTGCATTACTGATGACCCGATGTTGCATCGTAGAGTACATAGTGTTTCCATCATGTACAGCCTCGAACCTAACCGCAACATGCAGGTTGATGCGTATTGTTTTATCGGCCTGACTGCTCGCAGCGAAATGTCATGTTGCATATATCCTCAACGCGGCATTTCGACGAAAATTCTCACAAATCTGATGGTTTCAGCCGATGTGAGACGTTTTCTCCATGTTAGTTTAGATACATCTTTATACCATATTCATGTCCCATTTCTACTTTATTGTTCAATTGGATCAAATGGACACGAATGAGGTCATTCTAGTGCGCTTCACGCTCAGAGGACCCGGTGCACCGTCGTTACGCTACACGCGCAGTTTTTTGTTTCCACTCCTATTGGATTTATTCCTTAACATATTAGCACTCGCTACCGGGCTCGTAAAAAACAGACTTGGAATACTCAGGGATATCCGCCTAAGCTAACCTTGCAGCACCGTTCTCAGAGCTTTATCGTTGCATTCGGCTACACATTTGCGTAATTGGTGATATTTGTGCAAGTACCTTACTTGGTGGGGTGGAACACGAGATTTACCAAAGAACTCTTTTGCAGATTTCACCGGGTCCATGCTTCTTTATTATTGATTATTACTTATTTAGGTGTGCACTAGATTGCATTTACGGAGGGCTCATCGGACAGTAAAGAGCTGGATACTCTAGAAGAAGGACCGACAGGACGTTTCCTCCGAAGCCGACTTGGTACGCTTGGGGGATGTCACTCCCTCCTAATGCATTACAAGTCCACGGCCCAAACGGTCCTCGTCCCACGACGAAATCCTCATGGGCATCACGCAGTCAAACGTTTGGGGACCAATCCGCTTATTTGCATCCTTGATCTTGGGCAACTAGCTGCGTTTAAGTTAGAGAGGGGCGTTGAGCTGGCTGGCAACTGACTCAAAGGTTCCCTTGGCTGTTCCGGTGATTGATGCTCTGGAAGGCAGAACTCAGACGCAGTGGGCAAAGGGTAGGGGGACGTGATTTGACTCCGGAGTTGGAACCTCGCATGCAATGTAAAATTGCGTGCGCTTTTTGGGCTTTCAAAAATGTTTTGACATTTTTATACATTTTGCAAAATGTCTATGGGTCAAATGACCTACCAATATTCTAAGTGTACATGCGAGAACCGAAAGCCTGTGGCAGAGAATGAGCCAAGAGGACTACGAGTGTGGCGATGTAATTTGGATCGCTGCATTGAAAGCACGCGCCAGCTCAGCTACCAACATCGATGTTTACGCGTGGCCAAACGAAATGTTCGTTTACCACTTTTAAAGACGCACGAATACCGGGATGTGATAGTGAGTGGAGTGGGTCGGAGACAGTACGTCTGAATGGGATCAAGACGATGAGTCTAGGACAACCTGTAGAAGTGTCACAAATGGTAATTCCGTTCGTGGTTTGGAGAAGAAAGGATTGCACATGCAGTGAAGTGGATTACAGAATGCACTGGAGGTCTTCCTCTTGGGCCTTTGTGGATGCCAAGGCGGCAAGGTCGATTGCAGGCAAAGACGGAAGAGTGAAGCTGACACGTGAAGATGCGTCGACGACTGGATTGTCGATGTTTGAGACATGATGTATGTCAGCAGTGAACTGTGTGATAAAGTCTAGATGTTCGGTTTCCCGTGGTGATTATTTGCCAGAGGCTGGGTTAAATATGAGGGCTTGTGCTCAGTGTTGACTGTGAAGGCACGACCCTCGTGGGTGTGCCGGAACTAGCAAATGGCTACGTGTACGGTAATTAGTTCCCTGCCAAACGTGTTGTAGTGGGATTCCGCTGGCTGCAGCCATTTGGAGAAGAAACCGTGAGGTTACCATTGCCCACCAACCTGTTGTTGGAGTACAGCTCCTACCGCGACGTCTGAAGCATCAGTCGCAATAGAGAGAGGTGCAGTCGGTTCGGAACCAGCAAGGAGAACTATGTTGGAGATGAAATACTTGAGCTCGGTGAAGGCTGTGTGTGCTCTGTGCGGGAAAGCCAACTTAGGTTCATTTCCTCTGAGAGGGTCAGTCAAGAGTTTATATAGCGAGTATTGAAGTGTCGATAGAAGTTGACTAGACCACAAAACCTACGGGTGTTTGAATGATGTTGAAGCTGAGAATTCTTTAATTGCCTGGACCTTATCCTGAAGAACTTCGGTAACATTGACTATCCGAACTCCCACTTAGTCGGGTTAACTGCGATAACGTGTTGGGTCAACCAATGTAAGAGAGAACAAAGATGGTCGAGGTGGTCTTTTAACGAAGGAACTGGTTACTAAAATGTCGTCGACGTAAGAAAAAGCAAAGTCTGCAACACGTGACATCGTGACTGAAGCGCTGGGAGGTTTGTGCGAAGTTGTGCAGTCTGAAAATCATTCTTACCCATTCGAACAAACCGAAGGATGTGATGATGGCTGCTTTAGGAATGTCTTTTTTCCACAGGTATCTGGTGATAGGCCCGAACAAGATGGTCTTACTGAAGATGGTCCTACATGTGAGGCATGCTTTGCGTTTCTGCATGTGTGGGTTCCTATCTGGGACAATTAGCTTATTGAGTACGCGGTAGTCCCCGTAAGGGCGCCAGTGGGGAGCACTAAGTGCTTACTGAAGAGCGGACTATGCCGCGTACGAGCATGCGCTCAAACTTCACCATAGCTGGTTTCAGTTTCTCAGTGACAATCGGCGTGGACGAGATGAGATGGGCGGGCCATTCGTCCGAAAGTGGTGCGTGACTTTGGATGCCATAAAGAGAGCTGCGTTCAATGGAACTATACATTTATCACGGGTAAAATTGCAAAATCCTAATAGTTTCCATAGGTAAAGAGTGAAATAAAATATGAATGTTTCAAAAAATATCACGTAGCAGTGGACTTACCGCAAATTTTCCTTGTATACATAGTTTGTTCACGTCGTAATGTGTCCTAGTAACCTGGATAAATTATGAAATGCAGGTGATGTACTGCAACAACAAATCACATTTTGAATGCAGCTAACGTAGAAGCGGGGAGGACAGAATGCGGAAGTAAGTCCCACGAATGGGACACACGAATGGAGAAAACGTTCCGGTAGCATTCTAACCCGCTGTACCGCGTGACCAACTTCAAATGGTGGCCTCTTACAGAGTATTTTATGGCTGAATTGCAATAAGGTTCGGCATGGGTGGTTAGAATCCTTGAGGGTTTGATATACCAATATAGGATCACCGCGCAAAAGACGATATTGTTCCCTGAAAACTGAAGTCTTTAATCTAAACACGTAAGGGTGGTGGAGCCATCCCTTAACATTTTTTGTCGCCCTCCGTTGTGGATTCTCAAAAGTGGTGAGGTCATTTTTCTGCCAAGGGTGCCACACCCGGATGGCGTATTCTGCACCTGGTTTCACGTGAGAGTTTAGCGTTTGCGTAAATAATGCAGGAGCGAGCCGGCCAAACGCCCTCTGCAGTAGGCCTAAGTGTTGGCTGGCTTTTCTTGCTGCTTTAGCTTCCTGTCTTGAGCATCCGAGATCGTACCGCACAGGCACTCCAAGGCCACTTTCATGAGAAGCATGCTGCAAAACCTGTTCTCCTAGTCGATACTCGTAGGTAATCTGGTGGCGTATGCTCATAATTTTACACTTGACGGGGTTAAACTCAAGACTGTTCTGAGCCGACCACTCGTTAGCCCTCTTGGGGGCACCCCGCAGCGTTATGTGGTCGTCTACCTTCTTGATGGCACACAAAAGCTTGTTTGTAAAGTGTAGAACGATGGACGTCAAGACTCCCGCGGGGTCGTTTATGAACCCTAGGAAAAGCCGTGGTCCTATTATCAGGTGGTGAGGTTCGCCATACTGAACCTCTATTGGGTCGCACAGAGCGCTACGAACTCGTACATCCAAGCGGCGTTGAAGTAGGAATGAATGTATCCAGCCCAAGACAGTGTCGTCGATCTCATAGCCCCGAAGCTTGTACAGAAGAATGCGGTTAGCTAGACGATCGAAAGCCTAAGAGAATTCAAGGTAAGCGGCGTCGACTCCTTCTCAGCATTGCCATTCCGTCCAGCTGGCACGGGCTAACGGAGGGTTCGTGGCACATGAGCTGCTTTGGTGGATTCCATGCTGCTCCTTCACGGTTACATTGTCGCTTTCTAACTGTCCCATGGGTGTTTTTCAACAACACATTCCATAACTTTAATAAGCAGAGGAGGAAGAGTAATCGGGCGGTAGTTTGTGGGCATAGCACGAGTGCTTCCCTTGACTGAAGGAGCTTGGAGTATCGGGAAAATAGTTGGACGCAGCCTGGCAACATTGGGGAAAGCCACAGACCGGGGTGATATATGCGATGTCGGCGTTGGTGCCACACACAATGAGTTTCGTTGTAAGATCGACTATCATCTGGCGTTTCACATTGACCAAGCGGTCGAAATACCTGAAGACGTCTATGCCGACGATGGCAAACGGGACTGCGACAACGGCGATTACCCAGAGGAACGTTCGCCGAAAACCTAGGTTCAGTGTAAGCGACCGATGACCGTAGGTGACTATTGGTGTGCCGTTAGAGGTATTTAGCTTGCTGACAAAGAAATGCTTGGTTCACCTGACTTCCATCCCAGTGCCAACTAGGAACCGGGTCTAGGAATCATATTCCCTAATGTAGATGAGACGCCTCTGAGTTTTGCCGACACCGTTAGTCGCCATAACGACCTGACCCGGAAGTTCCTCTTCAGCGGAGAAACTATACGGCTAATTGCACGTATGGAACTTGTTACCGAAACGGGCCTTAGGGCGACTAGCTAGAATACGAATTTCTTTTTGAGACGACAAGGTGTCCATTGCAAACCGCTCAGTAGTCGTGGGTGTCACTTAGACTGTGGG